CAGCCTAGGAGACAGAGCAAGACCCCATCTCTAAAAAACAAACAAACAAACAAAAAACGGAACCGGTTGCAGGCAGGGTTAGATAGCGTGGTCAGAGTAGGACTCACTGAGAATGTGAGATCTCAGTCAAGTCTTAAAGGATGTGAGGGAGTAAGTTTCTGGCAGAAGAGCTATGAAGGGCTGTCTGGCCAGAGAGGATCACCATGCAAAAGCCCTGAGGTGGGAACGTGCTTGGTGTGTTTAAAGGAAAGCAATGAGGCCAGTGTAGCCAGAAGAGTGTGCAAGGTGAGAAGGAACAGAAGATGTGGAGGGCAGATCAGTTTGTAATTGTACGCCCAGTATACTGATTCTTTGTGTAATCTCCAGACTGCATTTAACTGCAAGAGCAGGGACCCTCTCTGGTTTTGCTCACCATTGTATTCCCAGAGCCTTGCACAATGCTTGGTGCATAGTAGATGGAAATTTGTTAAATAAATGACTTATGGATAACGAATAGATGGGAAGATGCGTGGATGGATTGGGGGTAAACAGATGTATGAATGGGTAGACAGGTGGATAGGGGGATGGCTGGGTAAATGATGCGCTGTCTCCCAGATGAGGACTTTTTCACCTGTACTCATTCTCTTTCCTGCCCTTTAGGGAGCCCCTCTGGCCATGCCATGGGTACAGCAGGTGTATACTATGTGATGGTCACATCTACTCTTTCCATCTTTCGGGGAAAGAAAAAGCCGACCTACAGATTTCGGTAAGAACTCACCACTGGGGTGTAGGTGGTGGAGGGCAGGAGGCGGCTCTCTCTGTAGCTGACACACCACGTGCTCTTCCTCACATACCCCCAGCCCACTCCCACACCTGGGCAGGCACTGATTCAGAGTTGTGGCAGTTTGGATAAGGGTGAAACTCAGAGTCACGGAATGTTTGGGCTGAAAGGGATCCAGTAGTGCAATCCCTTGATTTACAGATAAGGAAACAAGGCCCAACACCATGAAGGGACTTATAAAAATCAGGTAGTGAGGTAGCAGTAGGGCTTAAATAAAAACCCATGTCTGTACCAACCACAGAGTCGCCCACTCAGGTTAAAATAACCAGAGAAACAGAAGATATTCCTATTACAGAGAATTCCGGGTGTGCAGCCACAGTGCAAATCCTTTTTATTTTTGTTTTTGAAACGGGGTCTTGTCTGTCATCCAGGCTGAAGTGCAGTGAAACGGTAACGGCTCGCTGCAACCTCTACCTCGCAGGCTCAAGCGATCCTCCCATCTCAGCCGTCTGAGTAGCTGGGACCACAGGCCACACACCACACCCAGCTCATTTCTCGTATCTTTTTGTAGAGACAGGGTTCTGCAATGTTGCCCAGACTCAGGCTGGTCTTGATCTCAAGCAATTGGCTTGCCTCAGCCTCCTAAAATATTGGGATTACAGGCGTGAGCCATGGTGCCAGCCCATGCAAATCCTTAATTATCAAATAGATAAAACAGGGAGGTTAAAATTCATATGCACAAGGGTTCACCACTTGCCACAGGCATCTTTCTTTTTTTTTTTTTTGAGACGGAGTCTCGCTCTGTCGCCTAGGCTGGAGTGTAGTGGCGTAATCTCGCCCCACTGCAACTTCTGCTTCCTGGGTTCAAGCTATTCTTCTGCCTCAGCCTCTCGAGTAGCTGGGACTACAGGCTCGTGCCACCACACCCGGCTAATTTTTGTATTTTT